AGTACTCATGCAACCAATCTTCCCTCGAGAAGAGTGGAGTAGCACTCTCGCTCACCTCCGTCTCCAACAACGCCACCGCCTGCACGAGGAAGGCTCACCTTTGCCATGATGGCCGTCACCAGGGTCAGAGAGTCTCCTGCCGTTTATCTGCGCTACTTTTGGACTAATGATGCCCTACACACCTTCACCCGCAACGGCCAGAGTCTGTTGTGCCGCCTACGGCTTGGTGTGCTCCCATTTACCCGACCCTCTACGTGCCCAGCATGTCATAGTGCTCCGCACTCAATACAACACCTACTACTCTCATGCCCGGCCTTCTTGCAACATCATCTCCGTCATTTCCCGGTTAGCATCCCCCCACGGATATCAACCATTACTTATTTCAACTGCTCTACACCGACAAGGAGTCTATGCAACAGGCATTGAGCATTGCTAAACTCTCTCGTTGCCTCATCTAGCTGTCTCAACCTCTATTCTACCGTACACATCATACCATTTACCTCATACCCTTTACCTAACTTCAGCATTCATTCATTGCTTTTCTTACTCATTCATTGTTTTCTTGGGGAGCTGTCGTTGAGCCTCTCGCGACCACTGGAGTCGGCGATTGTATGTTTAAGGGCGATAGGCCACTAGGCCAGTAATGCCCGGCACCAGTTACACACACACACACACAACGCAGAGCTGAGAAAGGGGCTGGGCAGTAAATATCTTATTTACCGTGACACTATTCCTTCTTAGAGGAAAGTCGTAGTAGACTAAGCACTCAGCAAGTGCCAAAGTGATGAAAGCCGTAAAGCTTCTTATGAAGACTGAGCTACGTTCGTACGCAAACTCAATGAGCGGAGCGAAGTGATTTTCTTTCCATGAAATGGAACAACACAAACTTGAAATTATAAACTTGAAAACGCTCGCCATTCTAATCGATAGACTGATCTTGGTCATTAATAATGACTCATTATTCTCGCAACTGCGACATTTGGTGCAGTCCTACTGTTGCTGAGAAATCTTATGAAATGTATAAATTCGAAGTGTTGTGGTATTCACCTTTACATAAGTATTACTGATTATTAACTTGTATTTTTTACTCGTAAAATATGTTTTTCACATCACGGGTGAAACTTGGTAACTCGATAATCGACTCAATCGGAGGCTCAACAATAGTAGGTTATGAAAAGAGACAGACCTTCCTACCCTTCATCGCAAGGGCGACCTGAGAATCACGAGAGTGCCATAATTGGAAAGGAACAATGCGAATGACCCTCGGGGTGGTATGTCCATGGTAAGTTAACACAAGCAAGATAGGAATGTAGATAAGCCGTAATAACATTGGAGTGGAAAGAGATAAGACTACTACTTGAACAGCTTAGCTCGAACCGATCAGTATGATATAACCAGTATATCGATTACCATGGCGAGCGCGATTGTCATCATATCACAATGTCCGATTGATATCGTACTTCACCTTATAGTATTTCGTTTTCCCTCATGCCATCTAAACCGACTTCAACTCGTTTGCATAGGGACAAGCATAACCAACAAAAAGGCTTGGTCATCAACTTTGATGTCAAATCTCGGGTAATATAATTTTACAAAATTCATATTTTTACAGTTCTCAACCTTTCGGGTGTTTGTCATCACGGTGTGAAAAATTTACGCATATAGGTGTTGAATTGATTTCTATTTATGATATGTTTTTTTGGTTGATGATGGTTTTATGAGGGCATTCAAAAGTGATGATCGTACGCAAAAAATTCTGCCAATTTCAAGTCCGAAGTTACTTATTATTTTTCGTGACTTATTTTTTTTCATTATTTTTTCCCATCAAAAAATCGAAAAAATTTTTCTGTCAATTTCAAGTCTGAAGTGACTTATCATTTTCCGTGACTTTTATTTCTTTTTATTAATTTTTCCCGCGTTTTTCCATCAAAAAATCGAAAATAATTCTGTCCAATTTTTTGATATTCGATCCGATTTTCAGGCAACTTATTTGAGAGGATTCCAAAAACGGAAACAACAACGCCGTGATAAAGCTGAGGAAAAAATAAAAAAAAGAGCTGCGGAGGAACGGGTGGCCGAACGGAAGGAAATGCGCGATGAGGTCATAAATTTTTGGGGATATCAGTTTGGTGGAGTTTTACGTGAAGTGGCGTGAAAAACGCGATATTCGCGGTGATATGCAGTAGTTTTGGAATATGTTTTTCATATCACGCCTGGGTGAAACTCCAAAATATAATATATGATTTTACGAATATGTATATGTCCATAAAATCAATTATAATATTTCATACGATGTCCAGAATCGGGTTTCGGCGAGCCGAGTTTATTGCATCAATGGTAGTTTATGTTAAATTGTTGGTTTATATTAGTGGAGTTTC